GATGGATGGATGGATGGATGGATGGATGGATGGATGGATGGATGGATGGATGGATGGATGGATGGATGGATGGCAAAGCCAACAAGCTGGGTGTTAAAACATAGTTATCAGATAACTTTAATGTTTTTTTTTTTTTTGTTTGTTTTTTTAGATGAATGGGGCCATCGTGCATTGAACCTGTCAAAAAGACAAAAGCACTAGTTTTATTTGTGTTGATTTTAGCAACAGACCTTCAGCAGCCATTAATGACCAGGTTGTTGAGGTTGTGCTTAAATAGAAATATCACGGCACCAGCACTGACAATAAACTTAGAGCTTTGACTCGTTAATGCTGCCTTCAAGAAAGCCTCCCAGCACCTGTTTGTATTGCAAGTTTTTGGTTTATGTCAATCCGGTGTAGGTTTTATTGTTGCTTATATTAAACCTGAGTTCACTTTTTTCATTAACCAATTTGGGTCATTGTCTCTTACAAAATGAGCCGGCTCAGGTCGTTTTTAAATGCAGAATCTCACTTGGCTGCAACTGCTGCATCAAGTTGGAGAACATGTGTTAGTGAGCCTCTAAAATGCTAAAATGGGTATGATGTGAGCAGAGGAGGTCGGTGAATCTATGTGCATTGGCTAGAATACAATTTTGCAAAACATGCACATAAAAAAAGGCTGGCTGCACAAAATGGGGCTGCAAAGCTTGGTAGCTATAAGCAGTCTGTCTACAACAAAAAATATATTTGTTCTTGCAATATTAAGACAATTTTGACTTCCCAACTAGTCTCTAACTGTTTCAGCCCAGTGAGCTATTGGCTGCTAATATCTTTTTTTTTTTTTTTTTGGTCATTTCTTTGAATGTTCTTGCAATTTTTTTTAAATCTAAAATTAAAAAAATGTGAAATCTTGCTCTAGATGACCCCAAACATTCAGCCCAGCCAAAATTCAAGATTATAAAAGCTTGGAGCTCATTTGTCCCTCTTGTCATCAAGCTTTTCAACAACTTGAGATGACTTTGTAAGTTAGATTTTTTATTATTATTATTATTAATATTTGTTAATGCTTAGTACTGATTGTTGCATTATTGATATAAAATAGTCTAAATGTGAAGAGTTGAGTCTTTATTCGCAGTAAAGATTAAAGACTTGATACACTTAGAAATTGTTGAGAGTTCAGATTGTATGCTAACAGTGGGTCTAATGTCAGAAATGCAAAATCTTCCAGGGGATTTGGACACTATATATTTGAATTATTAATTAAATAATTAATTAAATTATTAGTAAATTCAAAAAAGACAGAAATCACACTGTAAAAACATACAAATAAGTAAATAAAAACTGCATCTGTAAGAAGAAACTGGTGTTTGGGGGTTGGGTGTTTGTGGTCCAGTCTGCACAGCACATTGCAACTGTACGCTTGCAAATCCTGCCTTGTGGTTTTCTGGCGGGCCTTTCTATCCACTCTCCCATCTCAGTCTCACTCTCACTCTTTCTCACACACGAACACTTTCTGCAGCTTTATGAGTACAACCAGTGCTCTCTTAGGTAAAGCTAAAACGATTCGCCCGACATTTCTGAAGAGAAAGCTGCAACAGCACGGTGAAGTGAGAACACAAATGATTCACCCGTTTTTCACTGTGAAAGAAAGTTTCTGTTTACGTGTCGTGGTAAAAAACAGGAAGTTAACTGGATAAGCAAATATATGCAGATACACGTGTAGTTCAAAAAGCACTTTTTTCTGGTCTCACAAAATGCATGAGTGATAGTAAAGTAATAAAACATACTGATGGTTATCATAAACAAGCATGGGTAACTATACATTCATTTGTTCTTATGTGTAAAAATTATTGGATCTCATTCTTTGACAGTGTTACAAATTATTATATAATTTAATTTGAATAAACAACTGAGAAAAACTCATGAATAGTAAACTATAGATTTCTGAAGGACAACTTTGTAATTTCAGATCTTCCTCTGTGGAGCACGCCAGTCATTTTTTTTTGGCAGGACTTTTGTTGTGTGATGGGGTGGGGGGGGGGGGGGGGGGGGGTTGTTCCTGGTCACAGAGGTCATAAAAACAAAACCACAAACCTCAGCATCCCGTGTTCAAGTCTAGTGTTGGACCTTTGTTTCATTCCCCTCCCTTCTGTCATTTCCTGTCATCCTTTCTACCTTTCAATAGAATCAAAATATACCTTGAGTTTGGCGCCCCCTACTGGTTACATGAAATAAACCGTTCGTGTCAAATTTAACGATGAATAAAATAAAAGGAATGGATTTTTTCTCTCTTTTTTTATGTTTTTGTTTATGTTGCACCAAGAGACTACCATAAATCATATAAAATATTTTAAAACATCACTGTCTTTTTATGAAATCATTTTATGAAAGATGCTTTTTGTTCCTGATTCAGTTTGTGTTGTTGTTGCTGCTGTGTTTGCTTTATTGTAGAAATTATCATTGCTCATCTCTTGCCACTGTTTTTCAGTGAATGACATCATAAGAAGAGACATGAAAGGACACGGTGGAGACTGATCCTGCAGCATCATTGAAGACTGACACTTTCAGACTTTAAGCACTGAGCTTATCGAATACAGAAAGCATAATGGCAAACATTAGGAGCTGATTTATTATGGACTTATATTCACTCTTTTTCAATAAACAATGCTTCTTTTGGACTGTAGGAAAGATGGTGGCTCGTTCAGCTAAAACTGACCTGAGATGTGTTATTTTAAATATTAATAATTAAAGAAAATTGTGTCAGCTTTTAATACCTATACAAAATAATTAGTCATTTCTTCATTATTTTCTTTTTGTTAATATATAACTGTACAATTGCTCCTATATGCATGTAGAAAATATTTTTTTTATCAAATAAATTCTGTTTATATTACTCTCAGTGCGAACTATATGTAAAGTTGAAATGAACAGATTTTTTGTATTTTTTACATATTTTTGATGGCTTAATCCATTCTGGCATTAAGCTCATTCACACCAACACAACATTACCCAGAGTTCGACACAAAGCTTGGTCCTTGCATTGGACTTTACAGAAGCTGAGCTCACTTTCCCTGAGATTGTCAGATGGAGGGAGCCCATGAACTGCTGGACTACCAAAAAGCAGAATATTGAATATTTACAAAAGCAACAAATGATTTAAGTAAAATAGACTTGTTCCTTTAGGGTTAAATAAAGCATTCATTAATTCAGTCATTTTACACTGTGTTCACAATTGTATTGAATATAGTACTTGTGCATTACCTCCCACTTTTGATTCAGGAAAAATTATCAATAAATGATCCCATTCAGGGTTAATAGGAGCTGCAGTCAAATCCAGAAGTGGATACATTCTGGACAAATATTCCTCACGGGGCCAGTACTGATATAAAATACACAATCAAGCATTTTTAATTTTGTGGTAAAAATAAAATCACCAAATGACCTAACAGCTTAAGAAAAATAAACATAAAGCTGCCAGTTATATTTTCTTTTTTGTTACTTTATGTCTATTACAGTATGTTATTCAAGAAAATGCACATAGTTTTACAAATTAGTTTATAGTTTTTTTTTTGTTTGTTTTTTTGAAAAATATAAAAAGAAAAACGCTGTTTCATAATCCTTTCGGTAGTACTTGTACTGTGATCTTAAAAAAATGCGTTGTTTTAAACTGAACGCTAGAGGGCGACATTTTCAAACCAATCTTCTAAAGGAGCGGAAGTGGATCACACATTCATGGCGTTACTTCCGGTTATTTATTTTTTTTCTTTCCCCGTTTGTGTACTGTACTACATAATACACTTTGTTTGTGTTCGCTGTTTTCCTTCTGGGGGGTTATATTTTCTTTTTTTGATTTTATATTTAACCTTCCTGTAGCAACAACGACGTCCGGAAGCTCCTCCACCTCTTCTGGTGAGTTTTTCTTTCACAAAGCTGAAACGTTCAGCTTGATAGGTCTGCCCCGTGGCTACATGACTAATCTAGATACAAATATCGCTGTAAACAACGTGTATTGTAATAAATATATGGCAAATGTTGCTTTTTTTTTAAATAGTGCTTTTGTTGCACGTTTAGGCCTCTGAAGGACCAGTCCAAACAGCAGCATGGAAGAGCTGGACCTGTCCCCCCCTGAAGTCCCCGAGCCCACCTTCCTGGAAAGCATACTGAAATACGGGTTATTACTTGGTGCCCTTTTCCAGCTTATCTGCATCCTGGCTATCATCTTCCCCACATCTAAAAGCCATGAACAGGTAGGTGGAAAACACAACGAGGAGAGGAGCAGGGTTACTTTTGAAACTTGGGGACCACCACCCAACTAAATGTTAGTCACAGTGGGATTAAAATAATTTATTCAGTCATCAGTGTAATTTATCTAAACCTACCTAAACCAAAGAGAGTTGATTCAGCCAGACTTCTTGTGTTATGCATCGGTAGATGTATGTTTTCTCGCCTGTTTAGTGTAAAACATAAATTCCTATATCAAAAGTTATACTTTCTGTTTGATGCATTCTGTTTTTATTAAACCAGTGCATAATATACTTTCTAAAATAATGCAAATCAAAACTGTGCTTGACAAATTACAGTAAAATTACATATAAACATGAGGAGGAATTAAGTTAATTTGACTTATAATCATGCCAAGTTTCCTCAGGATGCTCATCTAAACCATTAAGACACATTCTCAGTTTAAGCTGTCAAAATATTTGACGCACGGCTGAAAAGAATCAGGAAAATACAAAGCAGTTTACAATTCTGTCAGCAACGTGTGCTCTGATATGGTAATTACAAGCATGGGTGTGTTAAAAAAAATGTCAGTTTGTAAAATATCTTGGACGTTTTTACGAAGTGGGTTTGATTGATGCTCGGTTATTGTTATACTTGCAGTATTGGTTGAGTTGTATGACATCCAGCTAGCTATCTGGACAACCGCCAAAGGAAAACAGCCAGGAGGCATTCTAATCAGATGCCTCAACCTCTTCATCTGGTTCTTTTACATCCTGGATTAGTACAAACATTTCTCTGAGCGCTTTTTGGTTATGCCAGATACACTTCCCTCATAATGTTTGTCAACGTATTTAGATAATTATCTAAAATTATTAAAAGAATAATTGAACTTTTAATTAGATTGTTGTTTAGTTGAGGTACAACAGTAATTGATAATATGACTGTCTCATAAATAAATATGTTTAATAAACAGGGGCATAGCTTGGGCAATTGGATACATAGCTTTTACTAAAACACTTATTGTTAAACTATACTGACAATGTCAGAAGTCTAGAGGTAAGAACAATTAAACCCTGTAATAATCTGTTTTTAGGTGTCAGATTCCCTAATTTTAGCACTGCCTTACTAGTTTATTTTTATACAACTTGTAACAATGAAAAGCCTGCACTCACAGTAATAGTGCTGACAGGAAGGAACATGGCAGAATATGAGGTGCATGTGGGAATTCCATTCATCTATTTAATAAAAGTAAACTTGCATCAAAACGTAGACGCCTGAAAATCAAATTTTGCTTAATAATTACTACACATAACATTCTGTGCTTCTTGCGCGTGCAGCGTGCATGTAACAGTAAAACAACGTGCTTGTCGTTTAGCAGATACGCCATCTTCAAACTATTCTTTTATACTCGTGCTTTGCGATGATTTCTTTTTGCACATCTCTTCAGCAACCGTGCATAAGTTGGAGAACTTTAATGTTTTTTTTTTTGCGTTCGATCCACAGGAGGAGAAGGAGACCACTGATGGCAAGACTGTCGAACCGATGAAGAAACCAAAAGCAGCGGCACCCCAGATTCGGCAGAAACCAAAGAAAGAGAGCAAAAAGAAGCGATAGAATGTTTGTTACCTTGTTGTGAGAATAGGTGCGTTTCATCATTACTAGCATCTTAAACACAAACACCATTCCAACACTACGTTTGATAAACTTCAGCATGACTCTCAGTTGTGATATGTTTACAGCCAGCACATCCTTACAAACTATAACGAACCTCCATATTTGACTGAGTTTTTTTTTTCACTTATTATATTGTTTAAATAAATACTGTTAATGTATGTGAATTAAACCTAAAAGAAACTAAAACGCGTCATCTTAGCAAATTTTATTTATTACCAAATATTTGCTTGTTTAAAGAGTCAGAATTCATTTAGTCTTATTTTTAAAGCTAGTTTTCACACAGCTACGGTTTAAATAGTTTTACCTCTGAATCTTTTGTTTTTGTTCAAAACAACTTTTCTTATGTAGAATTTGACTATTACAGTTTCCTGAAGGTGTCAGAAGTGACTATATAAAGGAATAGTTAACAAGTTCATTTTATTTACCTTATTTTATTAATAAACGTGTCATGTGTGTTTAAGTGTTTACCAAATTGATGCTCTTTTGTATTAAAATGTAAGATGGATGGGACTATTGTGTTATTGTGAAATATTCTCTAGTTATGTGTGCAGAAAGACTCATTTTGTTTGTGCAGTTTTATGTATTTAGTTGAGATAAAACTGATTAAATTTTCAAACTACAAAAACATCAATCACAAAACATTTATTTGGAGATAATTTTTCCAGATTGAATTTGCTCCAAGTCAGACATTTGATGACTTAAATACTCTCTATTATAGGTCTCATTAAAAATATTAATTATGCACCAGTTTAGTTAAAGTTAATGTCTAATTAAGTTAGCCACTGTAAAGAATTTCTTTGTGCAGTCTGAACAGTGTACTCGGTTGAAAATAAATACTTCCTTTATTACTATGTTAGTGTGTAAATTAATCTGATAATTTGACATCGGTTCCAGTTTTCAGTATCGATTTAATGAACGTTAAAACCCGGGATGGATTTATATGAGCGTATCGATCCCGAATCTTCCGTAAGAAAAGTGTGTTGCTAAGCAACCGGTTTTATTCAGTAGCATCTAAGCTAACTAGTCTCGATGAAAGTGACGATTTAGCCACTGAACTTGTCCGTCCGGTTGTGTTGCATTTCAAAATATATTTTAATACATTAATAGACACTAAGCATAAATATTTGGTGTCGTGCTGAATTAGCTATGAACTGAACGATTTTATCTACGAAATGAAGTTGCGCAGTTTTTCGTGAATTCCCCTGGCGGTATCGTTGCGTAAAAATCGTAAATCGTGTTGAGTTTTTTTGTTTTTTTTTCACTCGTGTGTCGTCAGGGTGGCCCCCCCCCCCCCCCCCCCCCTCTACGAGCCTCGTCTTCTCGCACTCCTGCTCGGCCGCAGGATTTGACGGCGCTGCTGTCGGCTCAGTCCGGCCCCACCACCACCACCACACCGGCAGCTACGCCCGTCATGACCTCCTCCTCCCGTGATTCTGCTGAAATCCGCTGAATGGGATTCGTGGCCGGCCCGAGGTTTCCACAGCAACTGCCCGTCGGCTTCCATGATGTTTGAAATGAGGACAGCCTGACTGGGTTCCTCTCTGCGCCTCAGATCTTTGGGCTGAATCTCAAGACGCGTCAAAGGTGAGTTTATTCTAGTTTTGTCTTTCATAGCGTTGATTTTTATTTATTTGTTTTGGGTGGGTGGTTGTAACAAACACCATTTAACGCTGCTCATTTTTTACATAAACACGAGCTGTTCTCTCCCCCTCCACACACACACACACACACACACACACACTTTCATTGTTGCACAGCGGGTCCATCAGTCAGCCTGTGGTCGGAGGCTCCAACATATGGCCGGTGCCGTTCGGTCTGCGCGGACAGCTACACCCCAGAAAACGCAAATGTTCGGGTTTGCTGCTCGGCCGTGATGGCAGACGCTCAGAGGAGATCCAGCAGAAAACAAGCCGTCGGTTTCCAAAATGGAGCTGGAACAGCACCTGTTTTGATTCATCAGATCAGGCCACAGACGGACTGGGAGCTGCTGCTGTCACTCGAGAGCGCTGGTTGTTTTTTTTCATGTCCATTCACAAATCCACTATTACTCGTGATACGGATCCGCCCGGCCTAGACTGATTGTACATGCTTTTATTTGTTTGTTTGTTTGTTTTATTCCCTGGCAAACATTCGGTTTGACAGCTGCTGCTCCTGAAGGCAGCACCCCACCCCGTGTTTCTTTGAAAGCAGCTTTGCTCACAACTGCTCTTATTTCTGCAAGAAAATGGCTTCATCTTCCTTCTAACTACCTTTGAAGTCATCTGAAAGCTCCATATTTAGCTCTTTTTTTTTTTTTTGGCCACGAATCTGCACCACTTTAATAGATACCAGTATACCTAAAATATTCTATATGACCAATTAAAACGTTTTACAAACAGAAAGTGGGTCAAACACACCATGCTGTGTCCAAGGTCATTAAAAATGACGTGTATTGGCTCCAAGCATTATTTATTAATCAGTCAGCTGTTTTCCTAATTGATCGCGGTCAGCAAATACTGAACACACTTGGTAATTAGTTACAAAATTTAAGCTTGCACTTTTTGTCCCAGTAGTCTGCCAGTTAAAGTAAATTTTAAGGTACTCAACACAAAGTATAAACTGAAACCTAAAGGTTATCCTGATTCAGTCTGAAAGAGTTTACTCCAGTACTCTTCCAGAGATACAGTTATGTACTTTTATGACAAGAGCAAATAATATACATACATTTTATTTTAAGAAATCCTCATATAGCCCCATAAATGTAGGGTTTATTGATACTATAGTAAGAATAAGTAAATTATTTGTAGCTGACATGAAACTGCCATCATGTTGTGTAAAATTAATCATGTCGAAGCAGCCGTTCCTGGTGGCCTGGATCACTGGCTGCCAGAGTCCAGTCAGAGATGAGCGGAAGTGTTTTTTTTATTAATTTGTTGTTGGTTTTTTTATCAGCAGAGTGCCTCAGTCCTTCCCTCTTCCTCCTTCTCTTTATCCTCTTGTCTTTCCTGTGCGTGTTTTGTCAGCACAACGATGAGAGGACTAACATCCAGGCTCGCAGTCTCCAAACCACGTTGGGTCAGTAATGAAAAGGTCTAGAAGAAAAGACATCCAATGTGATTCTTGGGCTGAAATGGAATTAGACTTGAAGGGCACGTTGATGGATTTTCTCTTATCTGGCCCAGCCTGTACATGTATTGTTTAATGCGTGACAATTTCATGTCATTGTGTATCTGAAAACAGCATTGGACAGAGATTCTAATGTGCACATTTCCTCTTGTTTTCATCTTTGGGAACCATCACTGACCCCTCCTACTCCTCTTCCTCGCCTCCATTCCCAGAGGGCAGACTGTAATTTCCCCACTGAGCTGAAACATTAGCTGGAGCTCCTTCTATCTCTGCAGCACGGTGGCAACTGGTGCCGTCTGTTGTGACTCAGTGAGGTTTGTCATGACCAAATGTGCGGATGTTGTTCAGGCAAATGTAGTGCTTTTATAACTTGTGGAAAGTCAGAGGGCTCCTTACTAAAACACTGTTGTTAAATATAAGTTGCAATAGGGTGCAAACATCAAAGTGCATGCTCAATCATCCAGGTACAAAATCCAATAATGGTCAATCAGGTCAACAGGACAGTTTTTTTTTTTTTTTTTTTTTGTAAAGACGTTTCACCCTCTATCTGGAGGGCGTCATCAATAAGTTTGGAGATTTGTTGGTAGAAATGCAATAAAATGCTTTTATTTGTGGAAATTAGGTTACTGTATTTTTTCACAGTGGTCAGCAGTGATGCATAATAGATGCGACTTATACGGCGAAGCGACGGCGGCATATTTATTGTTCTTTCTGCACATTTCATCACCAAATTACCTCACAGTAGATTATTTTTCACACAATAATTATAACATTTGCATCAAACCTTTAAAAAGTCACGTCAAAGAACATGCATATTAGCGTAGTTTCCTTTAATCGTATTGGACTGACTGTCATGTAGTCCATGTTTCTTCTAACATGTTAATGCTTGGTTCTCCTATGAAGCAGATAAAGGGCATACATCGGGAATGGAACATTGTCTTCAGGACACTATGAGTTGATTCTTACTTTTGTGATCATGGCCCATGTTTTTACTTTGGAGGCAGACTTTGTTGACTGTAAACACTAAACTGATTTGTGTTGCCTGCATTTGCACTCCTCTTATCTGTCAGATCTTTTTTGCTGAACTAATTTGCAAAATTGAGGAAATGATTTCTTTTTTAATCCTACTACCTCCCAGAAAAAGTTTGTAGACAGCCAACTAATGACTTAGGAACAAATATATTTTCTGAAACCACTTTTTTTTTTTAATTACACTCTTTGAAGAGGAAGGTGCATTGTGGGTGGTTTATGTTCATATGCCACAAAATTATATGCTTCAGACTTTTATACCTGCTGCACTTTGGGGAAAAATACCTAGTCGTATTGTTATCGTGTAATAACATTAAACAGCTTGAGAAAATATATACTGTAAGTATTTGAAATAAATTACATAAAATGATCAGCAGGACTTAAAAAAGATTTAAAAGAGATATCAATGTGCAGATATTCACCCTAAACTCCTATAAACCTTCAGCAGCCTTTTCTCTGATAGAACAGGAATCTTTCCAAGTAATTTCAGTCCCTTCAGTATTTCCTCTAAATATCTATCTATCTATCTATCTATCTATCTATCTATCTATCTATCTATCTATCTATCTATCTATCTATCTATCTATCTATCTATCTATCTATCTATCTATCTATCTATCTATCTATCTATCTATCTATCTATCTATCTATCTATCTATCTATCTATCTATCTATCTATCTATCTATCTATCTATCTATCTATCTATCTATCTATCTATCTATCTATCTATCTATCTATCTATCTATCTATCTAT